ATGTGTATGTGTGTATACCTGTATGGATGGGTGTGTGTATACTTGTATATGTGTGTGTGTGATTATGTATGTATGTATGTATGTATGTTTGTATGTTTTTATGTATGTATGTATGAATGAATGAGTGAATGAATGAATGAATGAAGTTAAATGTGTATGAGTGTGTGTATGTGTACACGTGTGTGTAAGCATGTTTGTTTGTATGTATTTACGCATGTATGTACGTATGTATGACTGTATATATATATATATATGAACGCTCGTATATATGTGTGCATGTATGGTATGTATGTATGTACGAATGTGTATACGTGTATGTTTGTGTGTATGTGTTTGTATGGGTGTGTGCGTATGTGCACACGTTTGTTTGTAAGTGCATGTATATAAAAACAAATATACACACCAATCACGTATGTGTGGCCATATACAGAGAATTGTGAGTTTTCGTGTGCGAAACATGTAGGTTTGTATACTATCGTAACCGCAGGTGCATACAACTACAATATTAAGCCGCAGTTACTCTCAATGGTGTACGCTAGTCGCTAATATATGTGGGCAGTATGTATCTCCCAGATTGTGTTCATAGCAAGCATATGTTTTAGTACAATGCCACAATAGTGAGAACGTGCGCACAGTAATAGCCGTATCTCTACCGCAAAAAAAAGAAAAGAAGACAGACTCGAACGAGTATCAAATAGTTCCTGTGTATTGCTGAAAGGATCAAGCGAAGTGCACAAAGTGTTCCCTCTCTCGCATATCTATTGTGCGGTATGCACATATCTTTAAGTTGTATGAGTATCTTCTAAATGAGCATATAGTACACCATATCAGAAAACGTGAAGTTGTTACTGCAACACAGATGCAGGCAACAGTTGGCGCATATTCAATCCGACAATTTTTACCGCTACACCATGATACCTATTCAAGATCACCCGACGATGCGTATTCACTTGAGAGTACTTACATTTTCAACACGCCGACACCGTCGGCGTAACGACTTGAGTTGCGCTTGTGTTGATTGTGGTGGCGCCGTAGTATGACTCCCTGCCGCCGTGGAGCTTGACATGGCTAGCTCGACTGCAGATGCTTTAGTGTATCGTTTTAATATAGGATATCCGTATATTCACGACGACACTGTTTACAACTTACACACACGACGATAACAATAACAAATATTTATATATTTACACTTCGACAATATATTTTCGCTCTCAGTGGTCGAGTGACCGCAGGCCATCGTACACGTAAATATGCCCTCATCAGCGTACCACCAGAAGTTCACTGTTCAGAATCTGAAGCACTCAACGGGTCTATTTGTCGAGTGAGAGAGTGATGACAGCCAAAAGCAGTGCAAAGCGACCTGCAAAGTCCGAAGTCATAGCGTTAATTCGTTTTACATATATGCAGTAAACGTTTAACGCAAGCCCCAAACACGATTGAATTACATATGTTTGTAAATATTATAATACATACTACGCAGTAAAAATACGGATTCTGTTTCACTAGGTAAATATTCACGTGTGCTAGCTGCTGATACAGGTTTCTGAATCTGAGCGAGTCCATGTATGTGTGAATACACAAATTTTGACAGAACACCAATACGTAGTTCAATATGTGCTACGATAGTACCACTTGCGTCACTTCAATTAATGTACTTCAATACGAAACGGCACGTCTGCCTGAACTACATTGCTGCGATATATAATTTTACCCATGTCGGTATCTGTACCCATACTTGTACTGCTAGCTATGCGCTCTGTATGAATAAAAGTACAAACCCATCAATCTTTACCACGTGCAATCTTTATGATATTTATGGGTATAAATAAAGCTATAGGTATATATATAGATAGATGTATAGTGTTTGTATTGTATATATATATATATGTATGTATGTATAGATAGATAGATGTATAGTATATTTTTTGTATATATGTGCGTGTGCGTGTGCGTGTGCGTGTGCGTGTGTGTATGTGTATGTGTGTGTATATCCACATGCGCACTCATATATATATGTGTGTGTGTGTGTGTGTGTGTGTGTGTATGTGTGTGCGTGTGCGTGTGCATATATATATATATATATTTGTGTGTGTATATGTGTGTATATGTATATATATATGTCGGTGTCTGTCTGTGTCTGTCTGTATCTGTCTGTGTCTGTATCTATTGTCTATTCGGTTGGCTTGCAGCTTCTGTGGATCCTTCGGAGATTACAAATACATCACGCATTTTTTGTGATTTACCTTGTGATTCAATACGGTTAGAGCTGCGATTGTGTAAGTAAATATGTGGGGTAGCCCGGAACGAAAGAACTAAGCAGGACTTGATTGCCCTGACACATGTTACGAGATACCGTACATCACAGTCGTATATTCAATAATCTGGCACGACGCAAATGGTGCAAGCCAGATTTGCTGAACACTATACTAATTTCTGCATTGTCTTCCTTTCGAACGCATACCCTCCAAGCACCCTTACAATGTCACAGCGGTACAGGCTGCGTTGAGTAATAATTCAATTGCCCTACATTCGAAACATGCTGATTCTCTTGCCAACCGGTTGACTAGAGAGCAAGCTATCATTTATTTATTTGACTAATATTTCTAGTTTTTCATAAAAGTAGTAGAGGCTTGTGAATTCGTCTTCGGCTGTGGCAAACAGAGAGTCCATCGATTGAATAAAAATACACTTATAAGTGCCACTATCTTTCACAATTTATGCATAATGCGGCACGGGTGAAGCAGTCGACACAAAAGACATCTCATCACCCTTGCACGTGATACGGCACGACAGGTTGTGCACGTGACCATGCGTTATCAACGTATGGTCTGTTACCTCAGCCGCTTCCTCCTTATTTGTGTTCTCGTTCTGTTGGTTGCTGGCACCACTCATATTTTCCCGAGCAAGTGACGAGGTTGTGAAGGCCGACGTTACTTTCGTCAATTCTTGCAACATACTTGCATTCCCCTGCTCCGCCTGAAAGATGTAGCAAATATAAGCTATCAGCGAGGGTTGTCTATACGTTGATCAGGCTGTTTTACGAAAACTTAGCAAAGCGACAGTAGACTACATTCGTGGACAAGAAAAACACTCGACACAACATGTACTCACCTGAGATATTGCCAGCCGTTGCGCCATAGCGTACTGACAGCTGAGGCGCTCTAATTCAAATTCGAGCTCTTTGTTGGAGGACTCAATAGTGTTCGTTACACTTTGCAGTGAACTCACGTCCTTCGCGACAGTACTCACTAAGTTTGTTATGTCCTGATTTTGTTTGGCCAGCTCTGATACTGAATCTCTGATTTGCTGTTGTTACAATTGGAGTGATTGCGATGAGATGGATTGTTGAAAAACGCAGCAAATACGCGATATATGCTTTAAATTACATCAACTAGAGTGTCAGGAACAGCACACAGAGAAGAGGATAGCGTGCAGTGAACACGCAACAATGAAGAACAATATAAGATAAAATTCATGGATTTTCTCGATAGCAACAGAATTCTGCACTTACAGTTAAAGTCTCCTTTTTTTTTTCCTGCACAGAAGTGCGGCTTCCCTATTCCGTTCGCGCCTCTTGAGTCCTTTCTTCTCGCCGAATTCCGTGAAATCGCCGGGAACATAATCATAACTGTTCAAAAAAGGTACCAGATATGTTTTAGATAAACAGCAAGATCCACTAAGGGTCGGTATACAATATACATATCATACCAATCATACCCATTGCATACCATACCAAACATACCAATTACATATCCCAAATCTCAAGGTCACAAACAATATCGATGGCAGAAAAACATCACAGCTGATCTTCAAATAATCAAGCTGCTTACGTATCATACTTACAATGATCCCTCCTCGCTCTTCTGCGAAGCCGTCTCGGAGAACATCCAGGACGATCGCTCGTACTTATCGTAGAGTGCTTGGTGGTCGACCGCGTGAGCAGGTGCAGCGGTAGCTGACAGCGACCCTGGACGGATGGCCGGAATGTCGTACTTAGATTTCCTCTTCTCAGTATTGATCTGTTGAGAAAGCGACGACGCCTCGGCCGCGGCAACAGACGCCAGAGCTGTGAAATGAATGGAAATCGCTTAAAATTTTGAATTGTCAATACAATGACTGTTAAACGCACTTGTCGCGCACCACCGACGACCAGTATCTCTCCTAGAACATTATCACCACAATACCTCAAGATCAAGTACATATACGCGATTTACGCACGCATTAACGGACTCCCGGCTGCAATCACCCAGTAGTGATAGTTATTTCACATCCTTGAACCCACCCTCTACCCCCTTTTTTCCGCTTTTCCCGTGCCAAAAACATACACCGAAAAATAGGTGAATAGCGACCAGCAGAAGATACAGGAAAATGTTGTTGTACATGGAATAGAGAGTTAAAAACGATATCGACACATGCCCTAATACATAAAAACACGAATCATTTTGCATTATGCCTACGTTGATATCCGTATGCAACGGGACACCGGCATTATATACTTCAATAAAACTGCTTCACTGCCAAATCACACGTTTATACTTGGCAAACAAGCAATCTGTGAAAACTACTCTCGAGCCATTAAATCTACATGTTTTAGCTATATCTAGATCAAGATCCAGACAAAGACTAACTCTGCCGGAAAAAAACCACCATACAAGAGTAAGATTGCATACCCATCAGAGAGTTCATGCCAGCCATATCTTCCTCCTTCGTCGGCGGTCGGAAGTCTGTGGACGCTGACGGGAGCTGTGCGCGCTCTGAATTGGTACGGGGATCTGCTAGTAAATTTGTATGTTGTTGTTGCTGTTGTTGTTGTGAGTTTGTACTGTCGGTATCCTTGGCACTGTTTGGAGCATTGAAGGGGGCGCTGTACACGTCGGGGGATGCGATTTTCGATGTATACCCAGAGTCTACTCTATTATTATTACTATCCTGCGACCCGTACGCATTATCGTACGTGTTGTTGGTCACTGTGCTTTTCGTTGCAACTGCTTGCGTGTCATACTTGTTCATGATGCGGGCGTGTGTGCAGCTGCGGCTATCGTTACAATCCGTGACGTGTTCTCTTGGCGCGTTATCGGTTAGTGGGTTGCTGCTTAGCTCTCCATCTATGTCAAGGCTTGTCAATCTGCAGAACAAAATCCTGTATGGTACGGATAGTTTTAGTGACAAGTGTTTAGGCGATTCTCTCTACACTCCCTAACTTCTATCACCGTGTTTAAATGCCGATTTCGTCGACTGAAGCCTCTATTTACATTTAAAGCATAAATAGGTTTGTTTTTATGAGGTGCAGGGAGCTGTAAAATAGTGATGACCCCATGCTTCTGCTCCAATCCTCGTAATGAAGATTTCGGATAAAACACACAGAATTATGTCTGTAACGCCATACCCGCATATCCCCCGAGGCTTTAGGCCCAGCGGTTGTGTCGACTTGTTTTGGCGATGGCTCCGTCGTAGTATATTATTTCCATCTTAAAAAAGAACACTGCGTCATGCGAATTGCACCAATCAGATATTGGTAACAAACGTGCGAGTTGTATCAGTGTAGATATTTTCAGTGATTCAAGAATTCGTAATGCAAATCCGCTTATCAACGGACACCAAGAGTTGATTGGATTACAAAAATAGTTCTGCCTCGCAGTACGTAAACTAAGATTCAGTACGTAAATACCCAGAGATTCCGTTTACGTACTAGTATTCAAGAATGTCGAAAGGTGCTCACTTCACAACAATCTTGTGGAGTCATCATGATTTTCAGATAAATAAAGTGATACCACAGTACAACGACACAGATTTCGGGCCAGGCTTTTGACCCAGAGTGCGGCAAGAGGCGGAACTTCTGGCAGCAGGTTGACAAGAAGAGAGTGTTATTTACGGTCTCACAACCCAATAAACTGTAAAGTGGCCCTTTTTTTTTACCCTACGGGACCGGCCCTTGGCCACGAGATTCATATCATTTTCAATTATTATTTTTTTCTAAAGTGAAGGAAAGTTCCCAATTACTTTAATCCGTGACCGTCTTGGCTCTTTCCCTTCCTGACACCGATGATGACAGCTCAACACACCCACAGAATAATTGATGAATAAACGAATGTTTTTAAAAATTTATCCGAATTCCAAGAGTTCAAGTTCCACGTTCCAACTTTCAAGGCCCAAGCGCCACACTATTTATTATATCAGCGTTTGTAGAATTGCTTGTACCTATCACACGTACGCTTAGGAGACAAATACATAATGTTGTGTACTAGACAGATTGCTTCTCGCACATTAGCGCTGCGCACGGCCCGTTGCGGTCTTTCATCAACGACGCGATGGATGAGCTCCGCCGCTGAGGAGAGCGAGTCTGCCAAAGCGTTTCGTGTCGAGGTATGGTGGATACTTAGCAACACTATGATGTATCGGCTTTGCGTTAATGGTGTTATTTCCTGTGGGTGAGCTGTGATTTACACTCAATTGTTGTCAGCTCACTGGATTCTTCTATTCGGTTCGTACTATGAACGAATAAAAGCGGGAGTAATTGCAATGACCTGCGCAGAACACGTGTTGGGTGATATTACATACTCTATTTCATCTGAACCTTTGTGTTGTTGCTTGGCGTAAGAGGTCACCAACGAGTGTTACATGTTAACCCGATCGCTTATATGTATTTTCAGGTGAGTTGTGACTCCATCTGACTGGAACTTCTGTTCAGTACTGTAACATTTTCAATTACCACCTGTACCTGTGTTGTTTCTCGCTTGTAAGAAAACGATGGTATTATGTTTGATTACATACCTTCTAAGTGCATCTGTCTCCTATGTTCGTGTCGCTCCCTTTGTGTTGGATTTGTTCTTCGGAATCGATAAAATATAAAGGAAATTCATCAATTCGTCGTAATATCTTGTATCTCAAAATATTGCAGCCTCACTCCACCGGAAAAATGACCGATCTCGGCACACGCCGTATCTTTAACGAAGAGCACGACATGTTCCGTGAAACCGCTCGTAAGTACTTCGATGAGGAGTGCAAGCCCCACACTGAGAAGTGGGAGGCTGCCGGTATGGTAGATCGCTCCGCTTGGCTCAAGGCCGGCGAGCTTGGTCTGCTAGGATGCACCACACCCGCTGAATACGGAGGTTCCGACTGCGATGCTAAATACGCCGCCATTGTGTGGGAAGAGCAGGCGTATAGTCTGTGCACCGGTCCTGGATTCGCACTGCACTCCGATATTGTCATGCCTTACATCAACCACTACGGAAGCGAGGCGCAGAAGAGCCGCATCCTACCCAAGATGGCTTCTGGTGAGTTCATTGGCGCTATTGCCATGACTGAGCCTGCTGCTGGGTCTGACTTGGCTGGTATGAAGACCACTGCGCTTAAGAACGAGGACGGCACATACAGTCTAAACGGTTCTAAGGTGTTTATCACTAACGGAGCTATGGCCGATGTCACCATTGTGTGCGCCAAGACTGCGCCCGAGAAAGGTCCTCACGGTATCTCGCTATTCCTGGTAGAGACTGGCATGCCCGGTTTCGAGCGTGGAAAGAACCTCAGCAAGATGGGCATGAAGGCCCAGGATACCTCCGAGTTGTTCTTCGAGAACGTACAGCTGACCGAGGCCAACCTTCTGGGTAAAGAGAACCACGGTTTCTACTACCTTATGCAAGAGCTACCTCAAGAACGTCTTCTAATCGCCGATATGGGAGTTGCCGCAGCCGAGGCTGTGTTTGAGCTGACCCGTGACTACGTTAAGGAGCGCAAAGCGTTCGGCAAGCCCTTGGTAGCCCTTCAGACCATCCGCCACAAGTTGGCTGAGTTGAAGACTGACATTTGCCAGGCTCGTTCATTCATCGATAACTGCATTGAGCTGCACTCCATTGGCAAGCTGGACACTGTAAGTGTTTTGTATTGATTGTTGCGGCTTGAAACATGTGTTTAATATTAATTAATTTCTAAACTATTTAATCTGCTGAGATCTGATCTACAGGTTCTGATCTATATACCTCGTCTTATGATTTACTCGATGATTTTGTTTTGCATCAGTTGTCGTAGATTGTTCATCCCTTGTCCGTTTATGTCTACAGGCTACCGCATCCATGGCAAAGGTCGTCGGAACAGACTTGCAGCACAAGGTTGCTGACGAGTGTGTTCAGCTTCACGGAGGTTGGGGATACATGTCCGAGTACCCTGTGTGCAAGGCCTTCCTTGACGGTCGCGTACAGAAGATCTACGGTGGAACTAACGAGATCATGAAGGAGGTAATCTCAAGAGATATCGTCGCTTAAGCAACGGTAGTATATAAATGACATAAATAAACAACAATTGAGCATATTGTTTTGCTCTTATCTATTTCACTCATGTTACATATGAGTGAGACTGAGGGGAAGTTGGCAGGTCTGTTATCGAGTACGTTGTTTGAACAGAAGTGTGCTTACGCATGTTTGCTGCGAAATGACCCAATGAATGGTTTCTGTTTTGCAGATGGTAAGCTTTTACTAGAAGCTCATGATACAATTTTTATTGAGAACATGCTACATACGAGTGAGATTGAATGGAAGCTAGTAAGTCTGATTTCTTGTACGTTGTGTGAGCAGAAGTGCGCGTAAGCATATTTGCTGCGAAATCAAACTCAAAAGAATGTTTTTTTATCGCGGAGCTATACACTTTTAGTAAAGCTTCTGGAACGATATTTATTGAGAATTCTTTATTTCAACTTTTAAGTTCTTTGACGTGAACATATGTATGCGTGAACAATACCGTCGATGTCGATGACATCGTTTATCGTTAAATATGCCTATACCAATACATCTTTGATGTGTGTGGACTGCAATGCCGGAGACAATCCCATGTGCGATATTTTGATCTGAGAAAGTCTACAAGGTGGTGCTCTGCATTTCGCTACTCTATTTTGACGAGAAAATGCAACAATATTGCCAACAGTACAGATGGTCATACGAATAGGTACAAGATTAACAATGCGTAAACAAAATGAAGCGTGTCTGTAACAGATATACAAATAGGTAGAGACTGATATATAAAAATACGATAAGAGTCTAGATAGATATGTATATATTTATGTATACTTATATCTATATTATATATAGTTAAATTTAAATCTAAGTATATATATGTTTGTATGGAAGTATGTATGATAATGAAACAATGTATGTATGTATATATGTATGTATGTATGTATGTATGTATGTATGTATGTATGTACGTGTGTATGTACTCATGTATGTATGTAAGTTTTTTATATGTATATA